TCTGGAGTAATGTTGTCTAATTGGACAATTGAAAATTGTAGTTCAATCAACCGAAGTCATAGAGGTAAGGGCAATAGTAGCAAACAGGCTTCCGTGCCATTTTATATCCTAGTAGAGGAATAAAGCCACGGGTTGGGCTCTATTTTAATGAGATTTTAGAAAAAAATATATTTTAAAATAGTGATTTTTTTTTTAAGAATGTGTGGTTAAAAACAATATTTTGAAAATTGATATGATCATCGATCCGAAAAAGAGAATGGGTCAAGAGTCAAAAGGTTGAACTACGATCGAACATGTGATTTTTAAAAAAATAAATAATATACAGTTACAAAAATTTGAAAAAATATACATATACATGTGTTGAACTCGTTAAATCGGAAACAAGTCACATGTTTTTCAAAAACCAGCCAATTTAACAGGTTTTGGGACGGATTTTTAATTAGAGGTTTTATAAGTTGAATCGGATAGGTTTTGATTATGGTTCTTGATTTTTTCGGTTGAATCGGGCCTTTTTTAAAACATTTGTTAAAAAAGAAGGAAAATTTTTAAATTTACATGTAATATTATTTTATTGAAAAATATGTAGTTGAAAAAACAAAAGAGAAAAATATATTAAGCCCCCGTTTGGGCCACCTTTTTATTTCATTAAAATGAAAAATATGATCGTTATCCATCCCATCAATATTTAAATTCAAATTTTCTATTTCATGTGTGGATCTCAATAACGGCTATATTTTTCATTCTCATTCTACAAAAAGGTGGCTCAAACAGGGTCTAAAATTAAAGTGGAACCCAAACAAGGCAAAAAAAAAGTCAAGAACCAATGCCTACTTCGTCCGTTAGAGCTACAAATAAGTGTTTGGCGCACAAAAAATTTCTATACTGTGAACAGTTCATCACACTCATCAACTGTGAACTTAAATCCACACACTACCAAAAACAAGCCCATATGAAAAGTGTTAACCTCTGCATCTTCCGATGAAAAATGTCACTCGTTAGAAGCCCACACGTGACATCCGTTATTCCTAAATTTTATTTGATTTTTGTTTCATTTTGATTATCCTCTGAACTCGAAAATCTCAAAGGCATACAAATTCTCAATGAAT